CAAGCAAAGTAAATACCATTGATTATATTGAAATTATTACTAATCAATCAAAGTAATTCTCAATTGGGGAAATAGTAAAAATCATTTAATCATATGAAGTCTAAAATTAAATCACAGTAGATCCTCAACTTAAACCTAGAAACCCTAGCAACCTCATACAATCAATATGCATGTATATGAACTCATACACTCAATAATGCATGTAGATTCACACACATTATGATCACAAATCTTTACTTTTACAAGATGAGAGATTAGACATAGAGAGAGAAACAACTTAACTCAATATCAAAATAATACAATTGCATTACAACTCTACATCTAAACCTCAAGAATCCATATGGTAATTACAACGAATTAGCCCTAATGCTTACTCCCATGAGGAGTTCATACAAGATGAAAGAAAATAGAGGAGTCATGAGAGAATAATATTGAGTGAGTTCCCCCTCGGTCTCTTTATCAAGGCTTGTATTAGCGCTGGACTCTTGTATATTCAGTACAAATCTTTTATCATGATATCTTCCAAATAACTAAAGATTTAAATAATTATAACATATTTGGAATATATTTCTGTTGATATCCCAATTACATTATTCAACAACGATTTTATCTTTTAAGCTTTTTTTGACTTTCCAAAATTGCACAAATGTTCCTAATATTTCTTCTATCATCATCACTTTAGCCCCTTCTTAATTTTTCAAATAAAATCTGATTTTGTGCCTTCGATTGCCATTTGGACCAATAAAACTTAATATTCTCCAGTTGCACCAATAAACATTAGAACACTCCAAGAATAATTCTATTAACGCTAAACTTACTTTTTTACTCTCTTTATTTCCCAACCCAACCACTTCAATCATCAAAATTCACTTAATCCAACCATTTAGGCACAATTATCCCCATCAAAAATTTGAATTTTAAAGCATAAATTGGGCATAAATATGCACTCATCAACTGTCCACCGCCCGGGCGCCCTAAATGGGGCGCCCAAGCGTCGTGCGTCACAGATCCGGCCTAGTTTTTGCTCCGTTTCAACTCTTTTGGACCGGGCCCTATTTCTACTCTTTTTCGATTTTATTTAAAGGATCCAGGCGCTCTATGTTTGGTATCTCTGGCTGGAGCAACACAACAGCTCACTCTTCTACTCTCTAAAGGCGGATTTGGAGGCGAGAGCTTCCTCTTCTACTTTTAGGGTTTCACTATCTCATGCTTTTCCATTATTCATCTAGTTTCTCCATGTTTATGGTGAACTAAACTCTATTTGTTGTTGGGGGATGATGTAACCTTATGAACTCTCATGTATTTGAATTGATTCTTAATTTATATGCTTTTTCATTAATTGTTAGGGAATTCATCTGTTTCAATGTTTGCTCTATTTAACTCATTTAGTAGCATGATTTATGAATTGCATGAGTGTCGAGAGGTTCTTACAATTCACGTTCTTGTTGAATTCTCCCAAGGGTAATATTTCTCATGGATGAGGGTATGAGTATTTGGTCGTCTTAAGCTCTTGATTTTCATACTTAATTTTCTATGAACTTTAGGAATTGCTCTAACTAGGAATTTAGGTATTCTTATTGCGCCGAGGGATCGGGTTCTAAGTAATTTAGTGAGTGACGTTAACATTAATGCAAAAAGAAGAATTCTTATATACATGAGAGTAAACTTGGTGAAATCAAACCCTAACAACATAATCATCTCACTTTATAAACAACCTCCGTTCATAAACCAATGATCTTGTTTTATTTAAGTCTTAAATAATCGAGTTATCACACAACTGTCTAGTGTCGAGAGTCTTCAGGGATACAATGCTTGGTCTTACCATTTTATATTACTTGTGCGATTTGGTACACTTGCCAATCCATCAACATTATCCCTATCCCTATGCAATATTATTCCCTTTGGGTGAAATCCTCTAGATCATGATTCATAAGATATTTCCCAATACTCAGATAAATCAAACATCAAGTCATGAATGGCCAAAACATAACAAGGATTAAGAATAAGAGAAAATCACTAACATTCAATGAAAGAAGCATAAAATATTTAAATCATATTCAAAGACATGAAAGTTTAGAGGTTATATCATCCCCAACAACAAATGAGTTTAGTTTTCCATTGTCATGGAGAACCTTGGCTTACAATGGAAGAATGAAAGAATGGAAACCCTATAAAGTGAGAAGGAAAGCTCTCGCATGCCCAATCTCCCTCCAAAGGGTCAAAAATAGTGTTTCCTTGCTTCAACCGTCCAAAGATGTGAACCCTAGTGTGTAGAAGCCTTTAAATAGATCAAAATTGGATCATGGACCAACGTCACTAGCGCTTAGCGCCCCAACTAAGGACAACCAGGCGTGACTGCGAAGAGACTGACCCTCAGTGCCCTAGCTGAGGGCAACCAGGCGTCCTACGTGACAACCAACTGGTGCTCAGCACCCTTGAGAGGGCGCCTAGTGATAACGATTGATATCACCGTTATTTGTGATTCAATTTTGATATTAAATGAGTCATTTTTTACTTAGAAACTTGTTTTAGAACTCTTATTTTTAGTTAAGTTGTGAATAAAGAGAGTTGAGGTTAGAATTTATGATTTTTATCACTAAATTCCTTTGATTTTATAAAAAATTGGAATGATTTGGGAGAAGAGTTAAAGTACCAAGGAGTTAAAATACCAAGGAGTTAATGTATGAAGTATATCTAGCACAATTTTGTGCCTATGTTGATAATGAATGAGAGGACACCCTTTCACAAATAGCCCGATAAATTCTTCTGTCCGGGTAGTTAATCACTTTTTACTTCACCTCCTCCGTTGCTAACCAATAAAACTAAAGGAAAATCATTGCAAAATATAATTTTCTTTCCGTGTTATACAAAAGAAAAATGAGGGCCACTGAATTAAGTACTTATACTGTATTTTCGTTGCCTTAAAATGGCCTTTTGCAGTTTGTGGTGCTCCAAAAAAAAGGTTTAGGCCCTATGCTCCAGCTGTTGCAAGAAACGCAAATGATACAGATGTAAGAAAGGCAAGGAAATCCGACATCCAGAAAGAAGAAGCAACTGAGTGAGACATTTGTGATCTTTTTGCCTTGTTTAGTATCTTCACTTCCTCACATCATTTTCGTGTCTTTATAATATCTTTGTAATATATATCAAACAGGAAGGCACTTCCAATTGCAGCTGCTGTGGGAATTGCAGTGCTTGCGGGATTATACTTCTATCTGAACAACACATTTTAGGCAGGATGTTCGATTCCATTACCCTTTACTTCAAAAAAAATATCGGCCTCTAATTTATTCCTATTCGTTTGTTTATTTAGTTCAGTTTTGCAGGTTTCTATCTTATTCATTCCGTTAAGTTACCAATATATCTGTATCACCAACAATTTGTTTTCAATAAATCATATTATAATCTCTAAACAAAATCTAATACAAACATATGATCTAACAAGCCATCTCTTTATTTCACTATTACCTTTAACACTAATTGGGATAAAAATATGACTGAATATTGACAAGGTAGTGCAGACTAACAAGAAAGAAATTACATTGACATACAGCTACAATAGCAGAATTACACAATGTAGTTTGGAACGCTTTTATTCTTGCAAAACAAATGAGCCCTCTATTCTTCTTTCCATGGACGGTGGAGGGGGGAAGTTCAAGGGAGAAAACATATCATTAAAACTGGAGGTTGGTGCAGGCTTAAACTCATAAGGGCCTTCTTTCTGTCCCCAGACCTGCATACAAATGGGAAATAATTTATGTTTTTGATTTTCTGTTGTCATATATCTATATTTGGAACTATAAAGGTAAAGCAATCCATCAAAGAAGATAAAACGAGATGAAGAAACTAACTTGATTTCCATCGTCATCATAACCCCTGTCCCAGGTCTGCATCTCGTTGTTCTTCATAATTGCAAGTTCTGAAGTACAGTAGCTTGCTCCATTCTGCTAACGAGAGTACAGGTGTTTCAACCCAACTTTTATATAGTACTGGTAAAAGAAGGACGGGGATGACAGATATTAAGACAACAGTGTGAACTGAAATTACCCATGAATTAGGAAATCCACCAGGTGGTGTTGAACCTTCATATAAGCAACGTTTTCCACGTGAACAACGCTTAAGATGTACTGTTGTCAAATGTTCTGCAATATCCTGCAATCAGCAGTACAAGTATTACAATTGTTCAAGTACAAAAGACATGAAGACATTCAAATACACAAACTTGTCATCCAATCCCCATTTAGAATATGCTAAAGTAATTACCTAAAAAACTTTCAATCAAATAGACTTATGCCAATAATATCAAATAAGATGATTCATTTATGTAAAGTCTTTCAGAAATCTAAATGTCAACTGAAATAATCTAAGAAAACCCACAGCAACACACACTAGAAGAGCGAGAACAGATGCAGAGGACAAAATCAATCCATGGATACAGATCACTCTGGTGATTAATCTACATGCATTTCATGAAAGAAAACTCCTTTATACCAGATCCTGTCAGGATAATAGACTTAAAAACCAGCCAAAAAAACTTCTGCATCCAACTCTCTTAAGTTATGGAATTATCATAATGACAAGACTCTTAATAAGGATCATAAGGTGGGAAGTGGACATGGACCTATTACTCAGCAAGGAAAATTTATAGAAGGAATAGATAGGCCCAAAATATAGAATGTTTATGTATGAAGAAAGAAAGTGGGGTTAGGAAAAGAAATAGTGAGAAGTTAGGATGGGGAATGACATGTCAAGAATCCAAGGATGGGGAAATTCTGTTATAGGAGAGAGAAGTGAGAGTGTGGAGGAGGGCACTGGAGTAGGAGGTTGTGAGTTGGTTAGGAGGAGAATAATCCTCCGGAGGAGTCTAGGACTCTGGGGTTTTCCTTGTGGCTGTAGAGCTTTCAGCTCAATCATCTTTTTACTGCATAATACTCTAAATAATACAACTTTGATATTCAGTAATTGTTTGGTTTCTATCACATAACATCACCTTATAAACAAAATTTGGGGAACATAACAGCTGCATTTCCAGACAAACAAGAACATCATTTGATCAATTGTCATTTAAGAATGGTAGATGATACTCCGATGAATTTGACTCGCAACACTGCATTTATCAACCACATGATGACCGAATAGATTGCTGCCATCTATGACATTTTGTGAAATGGTCCTTTTCATATGGCTCCCTAGTTATTAATATATTATGTTTATGTGGCATTAAATTTGGGAAATTTTATACCCAACTCTTGATTTCAGATGTGATTTTATAATTGTTTCCCAAATGACATGTCTAAGCAGTTTCAGGATACCTACCAATCTAATTGCAATAATTATATTTTTAAAAAGTCCCATGGTTTTTTTAGCATCCTCCTTTCCTTCTTTTCATCCTTAAGATATCTTTAGTTTTCACCTATCTCTTTCTTCCTTCTATTTACTTTTTACACTCTATCTCCACATAATTTATATTTAACATCCTAAGATTTGTTCCTTTTATTTCCAAATCATCCTCTTCTCTATTCCACTTCTCTCTCTCTCTCTCTAATGAAAAATAAATTATAAATGTCTAGTGAAGAAGCTTCTAAGCTAAGAGTACGCGCAACGAGAGCATGACTAAATGCTTACCCCGATGACTTCTTCTGGCTGTGGACGTTGATCCCTTGGCCGATCACAGAAATTTTTGTACTCCTCCATGTCTCTAATGGCGTATGCACTTAACTGCCATGAAAAGAAATTAGTATGCCTGCTCTTATTAAAACAACCTAGTAGCATTTTCTAAGTTGCAACAAGAAAAAGAGTATACTATTCCTCTGAAAAGAAATAGGCCAAAATGAAATCATACTTCTACAAATCAGAGCAAAAGCCAATGCTGGTAATATTTGAATCAATTATGTACACCAATGTAAATAATCATGCATGTAGCCCAAATAGCTATCCAGCATTTAATTATAATTTGACCCCCCACTGTCCTGCTTTATTGTGCGTACATAAACCTGGGAAAGCTTCATAAGAAGTTTCATACAGTCAGAACACATTACGTAAGGAGGGTTTAGTATAACTTTTTATAATGTCATTCTGTATCAGGTTATGATACATTCCCTTTAATGATCTCAATATTGTTTAAGAAAGCTATGGACGTAAGCAAGACAAAATATCAACATCATAAATATATGCAAAACACGATGCTTAAGGCAAATATGGTATGGCTAACTAAGCTACTCTTCTCCAAGAAACCTAATCACCAGCACCAGCACATGCCACATACATTAAAGTGAAAAAAATACATACCTCAACGTCACATTTCAACTCTTTCGGACAAGGTTTCACCATGAAAAACCTCTGCAAACAAATGAATGGTAAAAACGAAGAATAATTAAAAAATAAAAATAAATAAATAAACTAAAGAGATTAACATGCAGACAGTTTCCATCAAAAACATATCAAAAGAAGCATCTTACTCCCACTAAATATCTCAAGAACAAAGAAACAGAAACAGAAAACATAAATACAATTTCTCACACACAAGATATGAAACTCTACCTGTCGAAAGGGTTTTTGTGGACTCCTCCAAAAAGCCTAGCAGTACAAAAAAGAACATCATTGAGCTAATAATATTTATAGCAAAGATAAAAGGACCCGAAAACAAAAACTCAAAGATAAGTAACTTCCAAACTCTCATAGAAGTGCTCACTCACCTGTTCAAAATACAACACCTTGGAACCATCCACTAGCTCTGCGGCGGGGCATGTAAGCATTCTGCAAAAACCAATTCTCAGCGTTGTCCCGTTTCAAAAATCCCCTCTCATAAAAAAAAAACAAGGAAGATAAACAAATATAACGAGGATTAAAAAAAATACCTAATATTGAAATAGTTATCAGGGTCTCTGGAAGCTTGGTCCTTTGAATACTACAGCAGCAAGAATAACAGCAATTGAGAAATGGAAGTGAAAAGAAACATTAGGAGATGAGAAGAGAAAAGGAAAAAACGGAGAGAACCTTTTGGCCGGTGAGGGCCTTAGAGACGAAATGAGCATGGTCCCAGCGCGTGGTGGACTTGCGGAGTCGCTTGATAAGAAGTGCGCCACCAATGAGTAGCAGAGTCTTAACCGCCAACCCTCGGGCACGGTTCCATCCATTCGAATCCGACCCCGAACCCGAACCCATCTATTCTTTTCTTGTATGCTAATAATAATGAATACTCAATGATGGAATCAAAAGGAATTGGTTTTAGTCGCGGAATCTCAGTGGAAGCGCCACAACCATAACCAGAATCTTGAACGGTTGAATCCAGATAGAGAGAGAGACAGTTGAATTACTTACCTCTGCCTGTGTTATTGGACTCTGCCCAGTGAATCGTTCATCGTCTAGATGTAGAAGCAGACACAGAGGGAGCAGAGACTCCAATTTCGATTCCACCCATTTTGGTTCGGTTCGGTTTGTTTATACCCAAAATCCCAATTCACTAAAATAGCTTATGTTCTGCAATAGTTTTGTGCTGCGCTATGCTTTGCATTGTGCCAATAAATTAAAATACAATAATATAAAATCAGGACTCCTATCTATATTATATTATATGCTTTTTAAATCTCATTTTTTATTTAGGGTTTAGGGAAGTGATGAAAAACTGCAATGCAACACCACTATTATCTAACATGTGTTTAATTTGAAGTGTTTTCAGTAATGAAGTCTGATTTTCGATGCTATATTCATGTTTTTTAAATTTAGAGAAAAAATATTTTTACAAATTTATGTTCTAAAAATATAATTAAGCCAAATTCATAGCTTTTTAATATTTATTTTTCATTTTTTTATATGAAATTAAACTAGTTAAAACACATGTCATTTGTAAGATTTTCCAAATAAAAAAAAATCTTAAACTTGTAAAACATGTAACGTGGCTATGTAGAACCTTTCTTGTACATTGTGGTAATGTAGATTATATTTACTAGTTTCTTTTCTAACTTTAATTTGAAAACATATATATTAGTACAAATGGCGAGTCTAAATAAAAATAACAATAATAAATTGAATATAAACTTCTTAAAAAACCAAGTAAATAATTCAGTTGGCCCTTGTGAGATCCCGGTAAATTAGAGATGTAATTAGATGTCAAATCAGTAATTATGATACTGCTGATTCACCTAGTAGCTTCCATCAATGAGCCGCGACACACGTCCAGTGCATTAATTGCGCACTAAGCTCTGCATGCACACACGACACTTGTCACGTTGGAAGTTTCCAATTCAGAGTTTGGTATGCAGGTGTCAGCGAGGGAGACGTTCGTTCAAACGAACGTGAGTTAAGCAAAAAGAGTTTTCGAAAAACCCTCCACTCACCTGTATCACTCATCTCCTTCCCTCTGAATCAGATTTTCCAATTTCTCTGATCTCTCTCTAGAACCAGTAACCTTCTCTCTTCGATAACTCATCTTCTTCTTCTCCGATTCACTTTCCAGAACCGTAGGAGTGTTCGTCCAGTTGAGACCTTTCATTTGGACCGAACAGAACTTGGATCGGAACTGGTAAGTTTTTCTGTCTTAAGCTTCGTCCCTTTTCTGGTCTCATGCGAACCCTAGTTGGTTGCATGAATGGGTTCTAGGTCTGAGTTTTGGTTGATTGTTTTGGTGTCTTAGTTTTACGTGGGAACTGTGGAACGAAACTTGAGAGTAGAAGTGGTTAGAGGAAACCCTAGAATCGTGCTTTTGGAAGATCACTGCTATCCAGGTAAGGGAAGCTTACATATATTTAAATTTATACGTGTATGATTGTATGAAAGCATGATTGGGTTGTCTGTATGAAATCTTTGTATGCGTGATTTTCTGATCTGCATGAACGAGCCCTGTTGTGCTGTTATGAATGTACTGATATGATTTTCTGGATTGTTGAGCTGCATGCATGGTTGAATCGTATGGATGAATACTATAATGTATGAATTGTTAAGATGTTGATTATTGAATATGAAGTAATCTGGAAGTGAGAGTGTAAAGTTCATAAATCTGAGATTCATTTGAAGTATAAAGTTTAGGTTAAAATGTTGAAATCTGAAAAA